TCGGGTGTGGCTGGAACTGCCGCCGTCGCCTGGGATCGGGGTCGTCTCTCCACCGTCTGCAGATGTCTTGAGACTGGGAGCTATTCTGTCTCAGAACAGAGTGGTGTCAATGCCCAAGTGTACGGAGTCACTCGTGGCTACGTGTTGGGTTGTCATTGAACTTTATTCTCAATAAATATACAGAAGACAAGACGGAGTCTCTGAGAGCTACATTACGCCTGTAAACTGGAATTCCACTGTGACCAATTCAGATATCATTCAATACTGATGTGAGCCATGGCTGGCAAATGAATTGAGCTCACAGGATTTACAATCATTCAATGAGCCAGAGCAGAATTCGGTACCAGGTGGTGGAACATATTACGTAGTGTAATTGTGATTCAAAGATGTTGGTTTGACTTAAGTTCTGCCATCTCAATGCTACTAACAAGTGAAATATTTGGGCTGGGCCCATGGACTAAGTTAAGTGCGCTAACCACCACGCCAGTTATTAACCTTGTTATAAATAAAGGCTTTGCATTTAAAGATGTGCACGGGCATATGTGATCCAAGACAATTAAAACAAATTATTTGTTGGCAGCATTGAAAACTTTTCTTAATGCAAAGTATTAAAATATATATATTAGTTTCCGAGACTAAAGAAGAACTGCTGAGACAAGTATTCACTGCAATGGTGACCTTAGAATCATCGCATTTCACAATTGCGTTTGCATGCAAGAGCAGTACTTTCAACATGACAGAACTTTTATTTATCTTGCTATTTCATCACCACTGATATTTGATTGTATCTTAGTTTTATCTTATGTTTGACCAATTTGAACTTCGTGGATAAGATATATTAAAAATATTATCAATAACTGATCGTGGCATTTTTCAATAACATTATTCCCACTGATAAGTCATCTCGATGTTCCGGCACTTTAGAAATCCACGTGCATAGTTTGTTCATTGTATTTGCATGAGCCACATTAGATGCTTGACTAAGCATTTTCACAACAGGGTACATCACCAACATCGTAAAAAAAGCTGAAAGCATGTTGAGCAACCCACTCCTGCACATCTGTATATAAGGATACTCAAAGCAAGTGTCTGGCACAAGCGATTTTCAGACCTTGCAGGACTGCCTTGATCTGCCCATCAACTACCATGCCTATTGTCGACTCTGGAAGCGTTGGGGCGATCTCCGCCGCGGAGAAGTCCCTCATCGTCAGCGCCTGGGCCCCCGTGTACGCCAAGTACGAGGAGGCCGGCGTGGACATCCTGGTGAAGTAAGTGTGTGCAGCGGCGCTGAGCAAAGTACCCTTTTCATGAACCATGCTTTAACTTCAAGGGTTTACAAGAGAATTGCGATATTAGCGATTCTCACAAATGTCTTGACTCATCACGTCAGGATCAGATGCACAGTGCAGGAACTACTTGTAAATTTGTAAAACATTGGTCCCATCGTTTATCAAGGAGCCATGCAGGAATAACTTTCAGCCGAAGCAAGCGACAGCTGTATTTACGTAATGTTTTTATTGTTTTCGTGCAACAGGTTTTTCGCCGCCAACCCCGAGGCCCAGGCCTTCTTCCCCAAGTTCAAGGGGCTCGACTCGGCCGACAAGCTAAAGAAGTCTCCCGCCGTGCGCTGGCACGCCGAGAGGATCATCAACGCCGTCAACGACGCCGTGGTGGCCCTGGACGACCCCGCGAAGCAGAGCATGCAGCTCAAGGCCCTGAGCCAGAAGCACGCCCAGGAGTTAAACGTGGACCCCAATTACTTCAAGGTAACACTATTGCCCTCCTCCCGTCCTGTGCAAAACACATTAATTCTGTGGCTGAATTTTATATTTCAAAACCAATTTGGGCATCTTTGGTTAAATAAAATTTTCATATTTTTCAGTTGGAACAATACGCAGGCCTCTTATTTTCCCCCACCTGTCTACCCACCAATCTAACGGGAAACACCAACTGTTTTCACATTTACTGTGGTTACCTCGATGTATTCTCATCCATTTTCATTTCTTGAAGGTTTAAGGCCAAACAAGCAAACTAATTGTCCTGTAACCTTCCGAAAGTCGCTTCCAATGGGATCACATTTGCACATCCGTGTTCCAGTAGATTGCAGATGGACATGCGAACTTTGACTACTGTCGTAATATGCATCGTTGGATTGTTATTCTCTGTAAAACGCGCTCCGCTCCGCAGGTTCTGGCTGGAGTCATTTCCGACGCAGTTGCCAAGGGTGGCGATGCGAAGGCTGCTGTTGATAAGTTCCTGAGCCAGGTGGTGATTCTGCTCAAGTCCGCCTATTAAACCGCAGCGCAGCCCAAGACTCTGCACCTCCATCCAACGACCTCCGCTTGCCTCCTCAACCAAGTTGATAGAGATACAGAATGATTAGCTTCTGCTAATGCTGTATGCAATGCTTTTTTCCCGATATGTGGTAACGAAACCGTGTTGTGCATAAAACATGGAATAAAATCACTTTCCCTGCAATTCACATTGTTTGTGTCCATTTCTTTCTTAAGGTCTACATTAAAAGTCTAGGTTCTAGTCCGACACATATATTTATCAACACAGTACGGTATTCTGCACATGCACAGCCACTGCTGAACCTGTCGTGGGAGTTATTTGACGACGTTTTGGCGGTGTTGGGAGAAATGTTTTCCACGCATCTGATTACGCTTAGTTCTAGGACCTTTTTTGCGTCCTGATGCGTTGGGATTTGTTGTTATTTGAGTATTTTTCAGCCAGTTAATGTTCATTATACTGGACACCTGGGAGAAATTCGGACCATCCGAGAAAAAAACCCACGCCTTGCGCGAGGGGGCAACACCCTATCCCCGCGTGCAACAGAGAAACAGGCGGCGATTAGTCCACTTGCTGTACGTGTACCACCACCTTGTCCGAACGAGCCATAATATACGACAACCTCCACGACCATTGCAGGAAGGGAGTTTCACATTTTGTGCAATGCACCAACCCTCGCCTCCACAGTGCTGGATTACAGGACACGTGTGTTGCATTTTAAGGTTACAAACACTTCATATACGGCATAGCGAATCGAAAACATCGAATGTTATCCTTAGGTTTTTTCGGTAAAGTCACGTAGGTAAAACATTAAAATTAATAAAAGTAAAATAAAAAAAAGATAAAAATAAAAATCACGACGTTTCAGGTGGAACCGTCACAGCCACGTCGTGGCTGTGACGGTTCCACCTGAAGACGGAAGCTTGTGTTGCCTCCGAAACGTCGTATTTTTTATTTAATTTTACTTTAATTAATTTTAATGCTTTACCTACGTGACTTTACCGAAAAAAACCTAAGAATATGAATCCTTGCAGTCACGAAAGCTTCAAATCTAGAATCGAATGTTATCGTTTTTTAAATTTTCCTTGACATGGTGGCAGACCCGCGCGAGCTTGGATATCAAAATGCAACAATCCAATAAAAAATATGGTACATCGAGAGCATTATTTGTACTTCACTCTCTCAAGACCAGGCTCCAAAATTATCCCTATTGGATAGGGATCGTTTTTTAAATTTAAAATAAGGACTTGTGTAGTTTTTCTATACAGGATGAATTGTTACTAAAATAAGAAGAGACCCAATTCTTTACGTACCCAAGCATTCCGTTATTGTCTCCATTACTCAGTGGAAGCGTTACTCACTACAGCTGTCGCTAGCCCAAGTACTACACAGGCAGACCTGGCCGATCGCGGGGGTTACGTTCCTGGAAAATCCTCTGGGTCCCAAATCATCACCCCCCACCCCATCCCCTCGTCCCTCTTTGCTTAACTAATTCTACGTGACATCCACACCCTTGTTATTCTACTAAATGATGCTGAGTCATTCTCCGTGTGTGCGTGTGTGTGTGTGCGCGCGTGTGTGTGTGGGGAGCGGTAGTGTAGCGGTTAGCGCTACGCTGTGCTATGAACTCGGCGACCCGAGTTTGATTCCCACTCACGGCCAACACACAGTGACGATTATCTGAACCGGTCCTGGACCTCCCCTAGGTCGGCTCAGCCTCAAATGAGTACCCGGTGCCGTGTGTAAACATCGCCACTGATGAGACAAAGGCGGTCGGGCGTGGTTCTGGCCACCCACCCCCTCGTGTGCCGTGTCGGCCTTCATAGGTGCTCGCTAACAGCACTTGGCCCAACAGTTCTGTCAAGGCTGTGAGGGAGATCCTTGTGCGTACTGTATGTTCAACTTCTTTCGCACCATACGTAACCAACCGTGCTGATAGGAGGTGCGGGGGAAGGACAACAAACTGAAGACAAAAAGCAGTTGTAAAGAAATTAGTTTTCGTTGTGCGTGAGCATGCTGAGTGTGTGTTACATTAGCAAAGGAAAACAATATATACACACATAAAAACATACTGGACTATACGTGTAGCGTAAGCACGTGGTGCTGAGTGCAACTGGTAAAAATCCTACACAAATTATGTTTGCAGCGTATTACCGTCGATAATCTGGTACCTGTAAATTAGCATCTGGGGTGACCAGTTCAGATATCACTTCTTCTTTCGTATGGCTCATGTTAGCCATGGCTGGCAATTGAACCGAGGCCGCACGAGTTCACTGGGTCCATGAGCCAGAGGGCAATGCAGCATCACGGGTGGTGAAACTTGCTTCAGGGATTTTAAAGTGGTGTACGTATATGACTACTACCGAAAGTGTGTTATGCAACGACACGCCTGTTTGATCACGTTTGTTGCACACAATTCGTTTTATTTCCCATTTGAAGACGTAGCTTTTTTCACTCGAGATTTTGCCATCGAAACGATACCAGAAAAATGTGTTTGTCTGCGTCCCATCGACGAAGAGCAATGCGCTAACCACGGACCACGACTTCACTCCAGTGTGGCTCATAGCGAATTATTCGTATAAATAGGTCTCATACATAAAGGTTATTCTATTTGATGATGGGGACTAACACGTGACGCGACATACTGCAGTTCAAACCAGTTCAACGGTATTTTGTTTGACACGTTGAAAGCATTTAAAATGGTTACTTTTGTAATGGTTCATTAACATTAAGTTCCTTTATATGTCTTCTATATTAAAATACAATCAACCCAATGCAATTGCTGCTTAGGAACGCCTAAGACCGCCAAACGATGACCTTAAAATCATCGCATGTCACAAAATCGCGTGTACGTGCCGCAGAGCAATAATTTCAACACGATAGAACTTTATCTTTAATTTTATCTTCGTTATTTCATCATCCACTAAAGCTAAGACGTTATCTGACGTTTGACGAACTTTTGACATCGTGGATAACATTTGATGCGATCAGTAGTGTATCATTGTAATTTTTCAATATCTAAATGTTTTGTTCACTGACAAGTCACCTGCAATAATATGACCGCAGCTTAGGAGGAGTCCAGATGCATACTCTGCTAATTGTATTTGCATCAGAAATATGAGACCTTTGACTTTAAGCATTGTCGCGACTGTGTACATCATCATCATAATCAGCAGCGTCAAAAAAAAGAGCGTAAATCGAGTTGCGCAACCCACTCACAAACACACCGATAAAATTCGGTATATAAGCAACTTCAAAGCAAGCGTTTAGGAACAAACGATTTTCAGACCTTTGCAGGGGAATTGCCCTTGATCTTTCCATCAACTACCATGCCTATTGTTGACTCTGGAAGCGTTGGGGAGCTCTCCGCCGCGGAGAAGTCCCTCGTCGTCAGCGCCTGGGCCCCCGTGTACGCCAAGTACGAGGAGGCCGGCGTGGACATCCTGGTGAAGTAAGTCTGTGCAGTGGCGCTGAGCAAAGTACCATTTTCATGAACCGTGCTCTTACTTCGAGGGTTTACAAGAGAAATCTTGACTTAAAGCTTTCGTAGATAGGTTCAAAGAAAATAACACAAAAATAACAAACAAAAAATAACAAAAGAACTACGATGTTTCGATCGCAACACAAGTAATCGTCATCAGAATATGGTTTACAAGAGAATTACGGCATTAGCGATTCTCACAAATGTCCTGACTCGCCTCGTCAGGATCAGATGCATATATAGTGCAGCAACTACTTGTTCATTTGTATGACAGAGATTGATTGGTCCCATCGTTAGCAATGCGCCGAGCAAGAAGTACGTTGAGGCTAAGCAAGCCACAGCATTCGCTACATTGTCAGACCTGCAGGTTACGTGTATTATTATTGTTATTATCATCATCTTCGTGTGTACCCAGTGGCAGCCCAGATAAAACAAGGGGACATTTAAAAATTAACATCTGAAAGATGCCACCATTGAAGTCAGGATTGGACCAAGGTTTTAATATTGTTGTTGTTGATTTATTGATACACTGCACTGTGCTTCTTCTTGTACGACAGGTTCTTCAGTGACAACCCCGGCGTGCAGGACTTCTTCCCCAAGTTCAAGGGGCTCGACTCGGCCGACCAGCTCAAGAAGTCTCCCGCCGTGCGCTGGCACGCCGAGAGGATCATGAACGCCGTCAACGACGCCGTGGTGGCCCTGGACGAACCCGCGAAGCTGAGCCTGAAGCTCAAGGCGCTGAGCAAGAAGCACGCCCAGGAGTTCAACGTGGACCCCCAGTACTTCAAGGTAACAACGAATGGCCTCCTCGCAGCCAGTGCGAGACGACACGCGTTTTAATTTTTGTTGCACGGCCAAATATTCCGCGACGTTTTCAACCGCAGGCAGCAGGCACTCCCCTGGGTGGAATTTTAAAACCAGTGTTTGTCATCTTTGCGAAGATACAGTTGAAATAATTAACAGTTGATACAACGGGGATGTCTCTTAAAATTCCCCATACCCCGCCTCTATCCACTCAGCGGCATGGATACGTAGGAAAAAAATGAAATTAAAATTAATAAAAAAATAAAAAAATAAAAATCACGACGTTTCGGAGGCAAAACAAGTCTCCGTCCGAAACGTCGTGATTTTTATTATTTTATTTTTTATTAATTTTAATTGCATTTTTTACCTACGTGACTTTACCGAAAGAACTAAGAGTATTAATCCTTGCAGTCACGAAAGCTTCAAATCTAGAATGGATACATTTTTTGTCGATCGGCAGGTCGCATGCAGCGAGGTATAAAGTGTGGGTATCCTCCTACATATCCCAAGATGTCAAGAGTAGTCCAAATAGCCAAGAAAGAGGCGTTAATCTGCTAAACTACTTAAAATTGCAGAACCAACAACTTAGTTTTTTTTTACATCCGTTAACTTTATGCATTACGATACATTTTTATTTCTTAAAGGTCTAAGGCCAAGCAAACTAATTATCCTTTAACCTTCAAACTTCCAATGAGACCACATTTGTCAACATTTGCACATTTGTGTGTCCGAGTAGAAAATTGCATAATGGATGTGTTTGGTTTAGATCGCGTCAATACAAATGTGTCGTTAAACCCGCCACCACCTGGCACAGAAAATGAGCAAGGGTTCGTCACGTAAACTAAAACGTGCCAATTCGTTACAAGTTCAGCACACCGGTGCGTGTTAGAGAGTACACCCACAACATTTCCAACCTCTATTATGAACAATTTTGGTCGCGAAAGCCTACGCGTTAAACTAGAAGATTGTATGCAGATCGCCGTGCAAGGTTTTTTTCTCTCTCAACTATTGTAATATGCAAAGTCAGATTGTAATTCTCTGCCAAAACGCGCTCTGCTCCACAGGTTCTGGCTGGAGTCATTTCCGACGCAGTTGCCAAGAGTGGCGATGCGAAGGCTGCTGTTGATAAGTTCCTGAGCCAGGTGGTGATTCTGCTCAAGTCCGCCTATTAAACCGCAGCAACCTCCCTTCCTACGACCTTGGCTTTATTCCTCGGAAAAGTTGCTAAAGATTCAAAACCGATAGGCTTCTGCAATTTGCCGTTCGCAGCGTTTCCCCGATGTGTTGTAACTAAAGCGCGTTGTGCGTGAAACGTGGAATAAAGACATTTCCATCCGATCAGTAGCACGTGGGATCTGTTTGTGAACTTGGATGATTGCATTCGCAAAACACTGTGTGCTGTTACAGGCAGACCTCGCTGAGCGTGCGGGGTTACGTTCCTGGAAAATGCCGTGTTTGGCAAAACCGCGTTCGACAAATAATTGAAGGAAAAATAGGGTTGCGTTCCTGGGTCCGAAATGATCACACCTTGTGTGTGCGCAATCTTTATTTTTCAATTTCAACTCAACACAAACACCCCCGTCTCAATTCCTCTTTCCGCACCGCGGCAGTCGCCAGCCCCGACGCTGGCCCTGAACACTGAATTTGCCAGCCCCGACGATGGCCCCTAACACTGAATCGCCAGCCCCGACGCTGGCCCCGAACACTGAATCCCCAGCCCATACGCTGGCCCCTAACACTGAATCCCCAGCTCAGACGCTGGCCCCTAACACTGAATCGCCAGCCCCGACGCTGGCCCCTAACACTGAATCGCCAGCTCAGGCACTGGCCCCTAACACTGAATCGCAAGCCCAGACGCTGGCCCCTAACACTGAATCGCCAGCTCAGGCACTGGCCCCTAACACTGAATCGCAAGCCCAGACGCTGGCCCCTAACACTGAATCGCCAGCTCAGGCACTGGCCCCTAACACTGAATCGCAAGCCCGACTCTGGCCCCTAACACTGAATTGCCAACCCAGACGCTGGCCCCGAACACTGAATTTGCCAGCCCCGACGCTCGCCCATAACACTGGCACGTGAACGGTCACGATTCGCCATCTCGGCGTCCGTTGAGTGTAAATGTGACGAAAGAGATATATTACAAACGTTCACTTAATTCCACAAACTCTTATACCAACACTTTTTGGTTGTTTCATTCGATCTTAAGAATTGAGCCAAGTTGCCGGGGCTGCTCCACTTGAATGCCCAAACGTCCCTGGCTCAATTCACAAAATCGAACAAAAGGTCTTGGTACAAGAGTTAGGGGTCGTCCATAAATGACGTCACGCACCTAGGAGGGGGGTGGGGGTCAGACATTTGTGACGATGTGTGACGACGGCGGGGGTGGGGGGAGGGTGAGAAATGTGACGTCACATAAAAATGCGCAACTTTAAATAAATATAGACAACACGTTCTACTTAATTAAATAGACTTTAATAAATGTTTTCTCCTACAACATCAGAGTGCAGCGCCAAATTAAATACGCACTATAATGACAATAGTTTAAAGCGATTTGAAGCATGTTTTATTTGGGGGGGGGGGGGCAGAGCTTTATGACGTCATATTTGAGGGGGGGTCTGACTTTTTGTGACGCCGTGTGACTGGGGGGGGGGGGGGGGGGTAAAAAAATCGTCTAAAATCGGTGACGTCATTTATGGACGACCCTTTAGTATCAAATTCAAAAGAAGTTGGTCCAAAAGTTATTTGATTGCCCGTTCAAATGTTTCGAAAGTCATATTTGACACGTGTTGAACTTCTTTCGCACCGTACGTAGCCAACCGTACTAAGTACGTAATTAAAGGTTCCTCACCTATGGAGCGATGTGTCGAGGTTGTTGTCCTTCCCTCGCACCTCCGATTAGCACGGTTGGCTACGTACGGTGCGAAAGAAGTTCAACATACATACACTATACGCTGTTGTAATACAATGCAAGGGAGTTGGTTGTGTGGCACAATATTGATTTCGTGAATGCCATTTCACGCGAATTCCCACAGTCCAAACACCAGATACATTTACAAAATATATACAGCTAAATACATACATGGGGTTAGATCGCGTAAGTATAAATGTGTCGTAACCCTCCACCACCCGACACAGCCAGGAAGGTTTGTAACGTAAACAAGAAGCGCCGTTCAGTTGCTAGCTCAGCCCACCGGTGTGTTGGAGAGTAAATCCACATCTACAATTTGAGTGGACATGAGCCAGAGGTCGCAACCGGGTACCCGATATCCGTACCCTACCCGATACCCGGGTACCCGTACCCGGCCAGGTACGGGTACACGTTTGCGACCCTGGTGCGGCCGGGTACGGGTAGGCCGTGAGTCACTGGTGAGTCACCGTTTGTCACTCATTTCGGGTAGGGTACGGGTACCCATTTGCGACCCTGGTGCGGCCGGGTACGGGTAAGGAATCAAAACCCGTTTGCGACCTCTGACATGAGCCCACACATCCCCAGAGCCACCGGGCAGGCTCCTCCGACAGCACGTGCAGGGCAACCAATCAGCAAAGCGCATGCCCCAACGCCACCGCACAACCGAAGACGATGGCGAGCCCACGTGTCTCCTGCTCCCCGCAGAGCGGTGCCAGGAAAGGTCAGCAGAGGGCACTTACTCTGCGTTTCATCGCGACCATCACCCTCTCCATCCGTGGCGAATGTAGCGTCCTCTCGTGGACTCGCAAGAAGATCGCGTGAACGCATTGCAAAATGAGAATGCGTTTAACACGTAGGATTTCGCGACGAATATTATTCATAATAACAAAGGTTTTTGGGTTAGGTCGCGTAAGTATGAATGTGTCGTAACCCTCCACCACCCGACACAGCCAGTAGGCCTCGACAAGGTAAGGTAATTTACCCTTTTTACCTTTTACCTTACCTGCTAAAGGGTCAAAGGTAGGGTAGAGTGATTGTATTGTGGTAAGGTAAAAGGTAGGGTAAAGGTAGGCTCGTTGTTTTTACACTTTTACCTTACCTGCTAAAGGGTCAAAGGTAGGGTAGAGTGATTGTATTGTGGTAAGGTAAAAGGTAGGGTAAAGGTAGGCTCGTTGTTTTTACACTTTTACCTTACCTTGCCGAGGCCTACAGCCAGTAAGGTTTGTCACGTAAACAACGCGCCAGTTGGTTACTACTTCAGCACACCAGCGTGTTGGAAAGTAAATCCACAACATTCACAATTTGAATACGACGTTTCGCTGGGATGTAATTCGCTGGGATGTAATTACCAGCGAGTATAAACAATTTTTTATATATGATACACAACTAGTAATCATACTTGTAGTTTAATAGACAATATAGCAATAATATACACTTTTCACACCGATGGTTTTACAAAATAAATGGGTAACTGAGCATCCTCTGAATAAGCACTGCACCGCGTTACGATCCACCATTTCACATCTCTTTGCTTCGATTTAAATAGTTTTGATTGACGTTTTTGGTTTTCAGGAACGCATCCTGGGCGTATACCGGGGTATGGCCGTATCACCATACATAAAACTAACGGATGACGATAAATGAATAAAAAATTTCAACAACTGGCAGCCAACATTAAACCCCATTTCTGTTATAACCAATAACAGACTTGGGTAGTTTTTTAGCAGAAAAAACAAACTGGGATGGGATTTTTTAATCGTCACGGACAAACTGAAATGTTGATATAGACAGTGAAAATTTATTGCAGTACGTATCATAGCAGAACATATGAAAAGTTGAAATTGGGTTATATGCACTCGTGCACATTTGAATATACTGTATTTACGACATACGCTTTGGCATCGGCTACAATTCTTTAAAAGTATTGGCGATTGTCCAGCTCTTTAGCCCGCCAAAAAAATGTCATCACACTTTCAATAGAACACTCTGTCCAGTTACAAATGTGCAATAATTTCACATTATCAACACCATGGCATTGTGCAAATGCTGAAATTTTTTTTATATATAAGGAGGTTCTCAAACGAGTAGCTCCATCACGACAACCTTCCTGCACAGGATCATCATCGCTGATAACCTCCAAAAGAAATCACCAACCATGCCGATCGTCGACTCTGGAAGTGTCCCGGCGCTGACGGCCGCTGAGAAGGCCACCATCCGCACCGCCTGGGCCCCCGTGTATGCCAAGTATCAGTCCACCGGCGTGGACATCCTGATCAAGTAAGGATCTCTTTCCACTTTGAGCAGTCAACGGCGCAACACAGACAGCCACACATTGAATGTCATGAATGGTTTTAACTCTTGTCATCCGTGTTGATGAATTCTTACCATCCACAATTTGTTTTCGTTATTTAGTGGACGACTTAACTTTATTATGGGACCTTTCTTGACAGTATCAAACTATAAGGACAGGCTTTGCCTTTTCTGGCAATAAAACAGTTTGTGTTAAGATGTTAAAACACCAAACAGAAACCTTTTGCAAGGAATCACGTCTGCATTAATCGCACACGGTCGTTGTGGTGAACATGCGAACAAAAAAAAGGTTTCTGTTACGTCTTTTAACATCTTAACACCTGTTTTATTGCCAGAAAGGGTAAAACCTATTCTTATATTACGACTTAACTTTTATTCATTTAAAGTTAAAGATTGTAGCTGCGGGGGAATGAAAACCACTGATTGCCATTCTGATGTGTTGCTTCTTTACGAAGGGCACTTGTATTATGATAATAAACATTTAGAACTTTTAGCAAGTTATCAATATTTATCTTTAAACAGTATTTGGCGATGCTGCTTTGGCAGTGATGCACAGCCACATTTAACAAAAAAACTCACATTTGTCAATAACATAAAACAGGTGACGTTTCGGGCAATGACCCTTCTGCATTGGACGTCAGTATTTATATTTGTTTGCATTATCACTACTATGCTGATTTATTTTTTCTTCAGCTACATAGCCAACATGTGGACACTGCTGTATTTTGTATGTATATATTTACATCGATCCTCTCTTTTGTTGACAAAGACTCGCACCAACGTAGCCATCCCCATGTTTGTTCTAACTCGGGCGCCACGGTGGCAAGATGTTAACTACCTCGCCTGGTATACAGGACGTCGTGCGCTCGATTCCGATCTCGACCTTGACGCCTGCATATTTGGAATTTGCATGTTCTTCCTGTGGTCGCGTCGATTTATCTTCGGGTCCTCCGGGTTTCCACCCCCCCCCCCCCCCACACACATTTAGAATCAACACGCGTTTAGGAGTATGAGGCTCCGATAAATTTCCACGTGACAAGCCACTTCGTTGTGATAGCTAGGTCGCTTATGAAAACCAGCTGTATAACTCAGAAACAAGTTT